GATTTTATGTTTTGTACTCTGGCTTGTACAATGTAATAAAAGGACATGTTAAAAATAGCATTTTACAAAATGGACTCAATTTGGAAATTTCACTTTCATTTTTGAGTCACTTAGGACAGTCTCGGCCAAGAAATTTCTGCGCCCTGGTACTTCATAGGTAGAAAATCGTGTGTCCTCAAAATGTTTTAGATCACAGCTCCTTTGCCTCCAGCCTCCATGGCCAGTGGTCAAGGATTATAAGAGCTGTATGCCAGAAATACATGTGGGCAACAGTTTTATAGTCTATCTGAGAGCAGCATGCCAGGTGTGGAGGTAAAACACAGGTTAAATGGCATACAGAATCTTGTCCACTCTTGACCTCTTATTATGCATCAGTGCCTAATGATATGCCCAGCACTGTACCCATATCTTAGTTTTCCAGAATGGTTGACTTAAAGGGATGCTATGCAACAAAGCTGAAGCTTCAGTGAGAGATAAAACATTGTCTCTTCAGATCTAGAAGCACAGTTTTCAACTAGGTTCAGAACTGCCTTCTATCCACAGTTAGAATAGAATGCATAATGCAGTAATAAATACTCAAGGGGGACAGCGATGTTCCAGGGACCCTGGTTTATATATTACTTGCCTATTAACAGAGCTTGGAAAGTTACTCTGAGGAAGACGGTATCTAATGACACACTGAAGTCATTTCTGGGGCACACAGCAGCATCCTTCAGGTGGTCAGTTATGGATGGCTTCAGTCTCTCACTCAGTTTATTCTTTCAAATAACTTTCTAACCTTTGTACTTGTAGCCATCTATACATGTTAGAAGTGACACATCCACTAAACACAGGGTTGCCTTCACCATAACTTTGCAATACGATTCCAGATGACATATTTTTGACAATTGTTTCTTTAAAATGATGTGCGGCCCAGAATGGGTATAGTAATTAAGGGTGTATTGTGAATTTTCAGTCCTTGTGAAACTGTCTACTCTTTATGAGATGAGTCACATGAAAATCTTGATTTAAAAACAATTACACTTTTCTGGCATGAAATAGGAGTAGAAACAAATTTATCTTTCTTGACCGATCCTTTTTAATAATAGAATAATGGAGTTGGAAGGGACCTATAAGGCCATCGAGTCCAGTGCAGGAATCCAAATCAAAGCAGATCCGACAGATGGTTGACCAATTTTCTCTTGAATGCCTCCAATGCTGGAGTGCTGATTGCCTCTTGAGGTAATTGGTTCCATTGTTGTACTGTTCTAACAATTAGAAGATTTTCCTTGATATTCAGCCTAATTCTGGCTTCATGTAGCTTGAGCCCATTATTACGTGTCCTGCATTGTGGGATGATTGAGAACAGATCCTACTCTTCCTCTGTATGATAATCTTTCAATTATTTGAAAAGTGCTATCATATATCACCTCAGTCTTCTTTCCTCAGGGTTAAACATGCCCAGTTCTTTCAGTCTTTCTTCCTAGGATTTGTTTCCATCTCCCTCATCATCATAGTTGCCCTTTATGTTGTACTTGAAGTTGAATGCAGAGAAAAACACCCCTCCCCTAGCCAAAGAAAGACTGAATGTATCAGTCAAAGTCAACACATTTATGCCTGAGCAGATGGTCACGTCCTCGCCCCACAAATTATATTGCTCAGATAAGGAAACAGGAAATTAAATGTATTTGTGAAGGCTTTCATGGCTGGGATCTAATGGTTGTTGTGGGTTTTTCGGGCCAAAGAGCCCGAAAAACCCACAACAACCACAGGAAATTAAAATCAGAAATATTTTGCATAGTAAAGACTAAAGTCCTGTTTATATGGGCATGAGCCAGGATTCAAATCTTAAGGAGAAAAAAAAATTATTTTGTTCTCTGAATTTTTTTTTACATTTTTTGCCACTTCTTCTGAGTACAGTATTATATTAGTGTTCAATCTATTTCTATCAACACCCCCTCGGCACATCCACTCTCTTCTACTCAGTCTTTTTCCTCAGAGGACGGCACACTCCTTGTCACTCCTTCACAGCAATGCAATTAGCTGCCTTGCTCTCCATTCATTTTTAGGTGCAATTTTTGTTCAATATTATACAAATTAAGCTGTAATTAATAATGCAGGTTAATTACTGCTTAAAACTGGATATATGGTAGCCTAAAGAATGGAACAACTCAGACAAAACTTTAAAGACTTTGAAATATACATGGTTCTTTTTTACCTTGAAGAGGAAATATGTGTGAAGTGTGCAGAAGTAAAGACAAGACTTTCAAGTTCCTTGAATAATATACAGTATTTTGAGATCAATTAAATCTCAGAGAATTTGTGTTAGGAAGGATTATAACTTTTTTGGGGGGAGGATTTCTTTGACATTTCACATTTTCTCTGCAACCTACATTTGAACCATAAGCAAGTTCAAACATGTTTATGAGTAATAATCTGGCCTTTCTCACCAGATTACTCATAAATACGCTCAAAAACCACCCATAAACCCAAACACAGGTTGCATTAAAATATGACATGT